TTCAATCTTATCCCACTGATCTCTCTCACTGTATCTCATATCACACATATGTATGATACATATCACAGATTTAGAGCTGTGTGGTACTTCAGAGCAGTGGTATCAAACTCCCAGGGCCATCAAGGGGCTGAAAAATTCCCCAGATTAAAATGTAACTGGGAAATGCTTCACAGAATAAACAAAAAATACAATTAAATACAATTAAACATAGATAATGTTAATCTGGGGTTTCAAAAGTCAATATGCCCTGGGCATGTGGAGTTTGATACCATTACTTCAGAGGTCATCTAGCCCAACCCTCTTATTTTATGGATGAGGTGACTAAGGCCCAGAGACAGTTTGCCTAAGTCGTATAGATAAAAAGTGGTTTCATGGGTATGACTCTCCTCTCCTCAATTAGATTGTCTTCTCATCAAAGCTAGAGACTATACCTATAATACTACTAGCTTACAAGTATGTAGGGAATGGGAGAAAACAAATTTAATTAAGCACCTACTATGTGCCCAGGCCCTCTGCGCAGTGCTTTACAAATGTATCTTATCTGATCCTCACAACAACCCTATAAGGTAGGTGCTTACCTATCTTTGCAAATGATATATTTTCCTAATATCAGTCCTATGAGGGAGGCAATATATTTTTTCTATCTCCTTTAATGTGCTAATTCAACTAACGGTGAATAGGAAATATTCATTCTCCAATTACAACTCTTGACTGTCAGAGCAGGGGGCTTAGTCAACCTTTCATTTTTCAGAGGAGGAATTGAAATGACTTGTCCAAGGTAAGTCAGCATGTAGAACCTAAGTCTCCTGACTCCCAGGCTAGTACATAGAACCTAGCAGGGGGTCATTGGATTTAGAGTCAGGAAAACCTGGGTTTTCTTAGTTTCTTCATCTGTAAAACATGAATTATAATAGTAGCAGTGATAGTACCACGTAAGATCATAGTTTGAGAGTTAGAAGGCATCTAGTCCAAAATTCTCATTTTGCAAGTAAAGAGACTGAGACACAGGAAAGTTAAGTGATTTACTCTAGGTTGTGAAAGTAGTAAATAGCAGGGGCAGGATTTGAACCCAGTTCCCTTGATTCTGTAGCCAGAAACTTTTCCACTATTCTCTGCTTCCCCCCCCCCCCATAGTGATTATTGTGAGGATCAGATGACATGAATGGCAAAGTCTATATAGGTGTCTATAATCATCATCATTATTATTATTGACCGGGTCAGGCCATTTAATTCCTGTGGGCCTCTTAAAGTGCCAAGCAGGGGTTATAAAGTAGAACAGCCTCGCCATCAGTGTCACTGTGGGGACAACTAAATAGATGAAGAATCCTTTGCTGATAGCAAAATGCCCTTGTTTTAGTTCCACCCTTTGGACATCCAAGAAAAGGCTTGCCAAAGTCAGTAGGGGAGTCAGGGGCTGGCTGCATGAGCTAATCCCCAACTTGAGACTTCCCTTGTCCACTCTCTCTTCTAAGCCCTGGGATTCTGCCCCTGTGAGGGCCTCAGACTGTGGGAGGCCAAGAGGAAGCTGTGGGTTGTGGCCGAGAGAGTCCACTTCCCCCACCCCATTGCTGCCCCAACCACAATTCACACTAAAAAGTTTGCTGAGGGTCTGAGTAAGAAGAATAGACCCCAGGCTAACCCCAACCTTACCCCAGCAGCCTTCATGGAGATGGAACAGGTGAATTTGGAACAGGAGCACCAGCCAATTTCAAAGGAGTCAAAGCCACCAACCTCCTTCTTTGTCAATAGTCTAAGGTCTATTGGGGTTGAACATCTCCCGTAGACTTAGCTAGCCTGAGATTCCAAGTCCAAGGGGACCTGGAAGCTGAGGGGTTCATTAGGATTGCATGCTCTCTCCCCCTCCAGACCCTGAAACATTCCCAGTGGGACCTACTGATTATTTCATTCTTCCTGCAACACTCTTTTAAATACTTCCACAGGGAGCTCTTAGACAGTTTTGAGTTAGTAGAGTCGGAGCCGAGCTTTGAGCAAGGCCCCACCCTTCACCCTCTGTGGGGTGGAGGAAGTCCCGGTGAGCTGTGGGTCTCCCACCCATGCCCCAGGCAGGACACCCTGTCCCTGGCAGCTTGCCCATAGCCCGGACACTGTTTACAGAAACACAGGCACTTGGTCATTCCAGCCCAGCCCAACCCCACCTCCCTTACTTCCCTGTGAAGCCTTAGGGCTGAGGACTCTGGCAACTAGAGGTGGGAGCAGGCCAGTGTTTAGTTTGTCCTGGGCAGATTAAAATCTCTTTGACCTGCCAGTCCTGGGCACCCTCTGTCCAGGCCATGAAGTCTGGGAATTTTGTCTTCAGATAGCTGTCAATGATTCTGAGATGTAAAGATTTTGAAAATTATAGGGGACCTTAGAAATGATCTAGGACAGTGCCCCCGTTTTACAAACGGTTGAAAGTCAAGTAGTCAACTGCCTCTTCTAGGTTCCCAGTAGTCAAACTACTTTCCTGTCTTCAAAAGATAAAGAAATGATAAACTCATTCATACTGAGTGAGAAGACTCTCATTAATTTTCCTGAGTTCAAATCTGGCCTCAGACACTTACTAGCTGTGTAACTCTGGGCAAGTCACTTAACCCTGTCTGCCTCAGTTTCCTTTTCTGTAAAATGAGCTGGAAAAGGAAATAGGAAGAAAACCCCAAACAACAATAACAATAACAACACGGGCAGCTAGGTGGCGCAATGGATAGAGCTCTGGCCTTGGAGTCAGGAGGACATGAGTTCAAATCCTGTCTCAGACACAAGACACTTACTAGCTGTGTGACCCTGGGCAAGTCACTTAACCCCATTGCCTAGCCAAAACCAAAAAACAACAACAAAAAATAACAATAACAACAACAACAACCTTAGAGGAGAAGCAACTGCAGAGACCTGGAAAAATCTCCTGAAGAAAATGGCATTTGGAGTAAGCCCTAAAAAAATGAGTAAGGAGGGAGAGTATGGAAGGCTTGGGGGTTAGCCAGCAGAAAGGCAGGTGTGAGGTAGGGGTGTGAGGAACATCTGTAGGATTGAACAATGTATAAGGAAGGAACGATGTGTAAGAAGACTGGAAAGCTAGGCAAGGCCGAGCTGTGAAGGGCTTTCACTGCCAAACACAGGGGTTCGGATTTGTTCCTAGAGGTAATAAGGAGTCACTGGAGTTTACTGAGTGGGGTATATGTGTGCACCGTAGTCAGACCTGTGTTTAGGAAAATTACTTTGCATGGGGGATGGATTGGAATGAAGCCAAGCATTAGCAGCCTGGGTCTTTCCTTACCTAAATGAGTTAAAACAAAGTAGATGTGAAACCACATAAGCCGGTCCTGGGGCTTTTTGGAGGCAGGCAAATCCTCCCTGCAGATAAGGATAACGGTCAGTACCGTGACTCAGCCTCCTGTGCTGGAGCTGGGAAAGTAACCAGGAACTCTGAGGCTAGGGCAGGAAGAGGCCATAGGGGAGCCTGGGGACCCTGGGTAGGGGCTGAGCAAGGAGTGAGTGGCTAAGACCAGAGCCTTTAGACCCACAGACCCAGCACCCTGCTGGAGAAGGGCCAATTGGATCTGGGGGCATGACCTCTCACCTCTACTGAGCACTGTCGGGTTGACCTGATGGGGAGACTTAGACTGGAGATAACCTCCCCAGTAGCCAAGACTGGCCCAGTTTGCATTTCTAACACATCCAGGCTTAGAACCGTATAATCAGAATGTTTGAGCTAGAAAGAGTCTAAGAACATAGAGCATAAATATCAGAAGTAGAAGGGACCGAGGGACCATCATTTTAGAGATGGGGACCAGTGAGGGGACCCTCATCCAGTTCAGCGCATTCTACTATCTTGAATTAAAACCTTTTTTTCTCTTATCCATCTATTGCTACTAACTCTGCTTTCGTAAGAATAAATTGTGAATGGATTGGTGGTAAAGGGCAGCATGTGGAGAGGACTCCTGGCTCAGTCATCACAAATGTTCTTGGTTTCGAGTCAAGTCAGGAATCATTTAATAAATGTCCAGTATGTGCCCAACAGTTTCTTTTATAGTTACAGGTTCCCAGGGGGGCTGGGCTTTTCCCCAGCCGTAGTGGGGCTGGCAGCCCCCTTAGTGAAGAAATTAATGGAATCCCCCTCAGCCCCGACTCTACCCTTGAAAGCTCCTCTGGCTTTCATACTTGGTTATCCCAAGTCTTTTTTTTTTTTTTTTCTGTTTGCCCCTCTTCCTGGTTAATGTGGAATAGGGCCTGGCACATGCAGGAGGTGTTGGAGAAATGTCTGTCAGTTGGAATTAAACTAAATCCAGGGTAGATCATTATCTCTAGAAGCTCATTGAAATGCCCATAGATTATCTGGCTGAGAAGGAAGATGACCTTTTATATTTGCATTGATTAAATTCCAAATTTAGAAATTTGGAATCAGAAATCCCCTCCTCCTGGAAGCCTTCCCTATAGCCCCAGTCAGAAGCTGCTCTGAATGTCTATTCCTTCATGATCACTTTGTAAAGCACTTATCTCATTCTACTTTGTACCTGAGTTTTCTATATAGGTATGATCTCCAGGACTAAACTGCAAGCTCAGTGAGGGCAAAGGTTGTGCTCTGTTCCTGTGGGTGTCCCAAATAGCCTAGGAGGCAGAAGAGGAGAGGGAGGATGTATTTTTTTGGTTGTATTCACTCATTTCAGTGATGTCCAACTCTCTGTGATTCCTTTTGGGATCACTTGTTTGCAAAGATACTGGAGTGGATTGTTACTTCCTTTTCCAGTTCATTTTACAAATGAGGAAACTGAGGCAAATAGGGTTAAGTGACTTGCCCAGGGTCACACAGATAATAAGCATCTGAGGCTGGATTTGAACTCAGGTCTTCCTGACTCCACTGTGCCACTTAGCTGCCCAGGAAGACGTATGATAGCAATAATAAGTTTCACCCATTGATGGCCTTGCCCCTTGGGGAGGACCTTCACAGTCACACTATGATGGAGACTTGTGCAGAGACCGAACCCCCTGGAGGTAGTATGGACAGAGGTCCTGGGGCAGAAAAGATGTGGCCACTGAACCCAGGGCATTGGATGCCAAGAGAGTGACTCAGCTTTGCACCCCATTCCAATCTCAATCCCTTTGGAAAGGGCTCAAAGCCAGAGTAGGGAAGCTTGCCTTCCATTCCCACAGCAGGTTAGAGAAGAACCAAAAAACAGGAAATAATGAGGTCAGTAGGAAGACAGTGGGTGGCTGTGCAGGCCCCAGTACAATGCGTTCAGCCTGTCACCAGGACCCAAAGCAGCCACTCGTCCTGAGAACTCCTTCTGTGACCAGTCTCCAGCATGTGAGAGCAGAGCCTAGTCAAGAAAACTCCTCCAGTGACCTGTTTCCCTGTTTTGTTCTGGAGCCAGAGAAGATGCACATAGCATGTGGGAGTAGAAGCAGCAATGGAATGAAATCAAAAGACGTAGGTAGAATCCTGGCTCTGAAACTTACTAGCTCTGAGACCTTCTGCAATTCACTGCCCTTCTCTGGGCCAGTTCTACCTTCTATTAGATTAAGGGGGTGGGGCAGGTTGTGTGAGAAATTTTTAGGTCAGTTATAATTCTAAAATTCTATGATTCTTTCAGCTTTCCCTAAAACCCAAGGAAAACCAAGTGAAAGGGCAGCAAAGGACTTCTATAAACCAAGACCTCCAAACAGAGCGCTTCAGGAAGCCCTCCCTACCCCTGCAAAGGCTTGTCCACCAGCTTCTCCATCTCCCCCCACGAGGTACAGCAGGACACAATTTCAGAGCTGGGGGACCTTAATGGTCCAGTCTGTCTGTCATCTGTCTCTCCAAATAAAAAAACCGAGACCCTGGCACTATGCTAAGCCCCAGGGATACAAATAAGAAAAAGAAAGACAGCCCCCAACCTCAAGGAGTTTTCAGTATAACAGGGAAAACAACACACAAAAGGAAGCTGAAAAGTGGGGCAGGGAAGGTGGAAGAGCAGACACCAGGGCCACGGAGTTCAAAACAGACAGAGCTGCAGGTAGAAAGTGGAGAGTTACTTTCCCCAGTGTCACACATAAAGTTAGTGGCAGAGGTAGAATTAGAATCCAGCGCTCCTGATTTCAGAGGCAGAATTAGAATCCAGTGCTCCTGATTTAGAATCCCAATATTTCAGAGGTGCAAGGGACCCTGATAAATGGTCATTGATATTCTTTTTTTGTTTTGTTTTGTTTTTTTAGGCAATTGGGGTTAAGTGACTTGCCCAGGGTCACACAGCTAGTAAGTATCAAGTATTTGGACTGAGGCTGAATTTGAACTCAGGTCCTCCTGACTTCAGGGCTGGTGCTCTATCCCTTGCTCTACCCAACTGCCTCCATTGATCTTCTTGAAGAGCTCCAGTGACGGAGAGTTCACTAGCTGCTAAGGTTATCTGTTCCAATAGCTCTTATTCTTAGGAAGTGTTTCTAAAATAACCCTCCCTGCAACTTCTGCTAGTTGGTTCTAGTTATTTTCTCTGGGCCAAGCAGAAGATGACTAATCTGTCTTCTACGTGCCAGCCATTCAAATCATATCCCCTCGAAGTCTCATCTCCATTCCCAGTTCCTTAGTCAGATTCTTGTATGACGTGGTCTCCAATCTCCTCATCATCCTGGTCACCCTCCTCTTGGCCGGTAACCAAGACTCTTTCTACCATACCACAATGTATTATTGGTCATGCCCTCTGATTTATTTTTCCAGTGATCATACCCTTTAAAAAAGGAGAGCCAGCCTAGACTGCAACAGTGTGACCAAGGCTGGAGAGTGTGACCAAGGGTGCCAAATTTTTCAACAATGGGGGAAAAATCTTTTTAAAGAATTGGGAGACACACCATTATCATTAGTTCAAATCTTTCATATTACTTCCTGACTAATCTTCTGTGTAATGGGGCTTTTGTTGTAGGAAACAGCAGGGACCTACTTCTTGGAGAAGCTCTCCTACCACATGGGTGGAAGCAGCCTCTTTCCATTGGCTGCAGCTGTAACTGGAACAGGCTGCAGCTTTTAAAAAATACCATCCTGGGACGATTTCTTGCTCTTTCTGGCTGTGTCCCGAAGCACACTGTCCCCGAAGCACAGACATTATGAACTGAGCTTGTGTGGGGAAAAGTCTTCTCTCCCCCCACCTTTTAGGCCCTCTGCCCTGCCCCCCAAAATGGACTTGGAGCTTTGTGCTGTTCATTTGTCCATTTTAGTTCTAGATGCAAGTTTAGGTGGTGGAGTCCCTGGACCCAGGACCTCCAACCATGTTTGGTCGATGGTTGTCCTTCCTTCCTGAAGAGGACCAAAATGACATCACCGTGTTGGGGTCAAGGTGCAGTGTGTGCAACTGTGGCTGATCAGACCAGTACGAGCTCTGAAGGCTCTACGACAGGTGCTTAATAAAAACTTAAGGAACCGAATTGAATTCCCCTGGAGTAAGTTCTTTCTCAGACCTCACATAGCACTTTGCACTTTCCTAGCACATTTATTCTTGTGTAATATTTTATAATCTAGTTATCTCTGTTTGTATTGTTCCCTACTAAGCTCTGTGGTGCCTAGCACAGTGGTCTGCACCCTGTGGGGGCTTCATAAATGTTTGTAGAATTGAATTACTGTGAAGTGTTTTCTTTAAATAGTTTTCCTGCTTGAAATCAGGAGATTCTGTCTGTTGCAAGTAGAAATTTCAAAAGATCCCAAAACAAAACAAAACAGAAAAACCAGCAGGAACTCCAGAACTTTTCCTACTGTCTGCACTAAGGAGGAATTGGGCTCTTTGCCCAAATTATCCTAGCCCTTGAACTGGAGCATCATCTTCATTGCATGCCTGGCCTGCATGGAGACAGTGGAAACAGTGAAAAGTGGGATCAGAGGATCTGGGCACAGTTCCTGGTTCTGCCTCTTACCTTGTGTGGTCTTGGACAAGTCTTTCCATCTCCTTGGGCCTCAATTCCCTTACCTGTAAAATGAGGTAGAGTAGGTGGTCTCTGAGGTCCCTTTTATCTATGACCCAATGATCTCCTAGGTCCCCTAGTACTGACTGTAAATTTTTGGATAAAACGAAGATGTCCCCACATATTGCTTCTGGTCCTTCCCAGAATGATCAGGGAAGTTGCTTTCCTCATGAATCCCCCCAAATCTTACCTATAGACTAGAAGAATTTGAAGTGAGGAGAGACAGATATAATTCTAGCCTAACATGCCTCTTGGAGGTAGAGATGGCCCAGTCTTGTGATTCCCATGCTCCCCACCCTCCATTTTGGCTAACAGTATATATCACCCTCCTAGTTTCCTGAGGGTGGGCCTCACATCATATATATCCATTCTATTGATAAACTGTAGCTGTATATACTACATGATCAATGTATATGCCTATACTACACGATCAATACATGTATTCCTCCAGTAGAACTTGAGGTAAAAAAGACCTAAATATAGGTCTTCTGCCTTTGTATCCCCATGTTCTTAATATGTCAATGGTTCTATAATTTCATCAAGTTTGAATTGTAGAGCTGGAAGGGCCCTCAGAGGCCATCTACCCCATTTTCTAAGTCAGTCAATTGTCCAAGATCACACAGGATCAGAGGTGGAATTTGAACCCAGGTCCTCTGACTCCAGGGTACCAGAGTTCATTCTACTACTCCATGTTGGATATTCCCTCCAACTCAATGGATCATGACTCATCCTACCTAGATATCTTTTATGACTTTTATCCACACTCCATCACCATGGCTTTGTAAGTCAAGGTACCGAGACTTCATTAAGCATTTACTCTATGGAACTGAATTCCAAATGTAGCCCTGAACAAGTCACTTCAGTTCTCTGAGTTTCTGTTTCTTCATTTGTAGAATGCAGCCAGTGATGTCAGAATACACAAGGTCGTTTTGAGGACAGCGCTTTGTAGGCCTTGAAGCACCGTGTGACTGTGATGTGGACATTTTCAAATTCACCTACATGTTAGAAATATCAGCAACTGCTCCCCATTTCAGCCTGTGGTTTATAGCGTTACTCACTGAAAGAGCACTAGCTTTGTAGTTGAATCCTAGATTTATGTCCCTGCTCTACACTGGCAGGGACATCCCAACTCTCCTGAAGATTGCTAGAGACCACTGGGGGAGGGTTGAATTGTAACGCAACATGACCTTTCTGCTGTGAGAGGGTGGTCACTGTTACATCTGCATCAAGGCAACTCTGGTCCTCAGCTTTCTTCTCTGTAAAATGAGGCCTTGCACCAGATGATCTCTAAGGTCTCTTTGAGCTCTAAATTCTAGTATCCTCTGATTTCTGAGAGCCAAGTAATCTAGCCTTTGGTTTCCAAACAAGACCCTACCAATGACATAGAACACGAGCAATGACTTTGAAGAAATACAGGGAAAGAAAGTTTCATCCTCTCTGGGTGGACCTGCCCCTGTTTCATTACTTGATGATGAATGAACAAAGTGTGTGTGTGTGTGTGTGTGTGTGTGTGTGTGTGTGTGTGTGTGTGTGTGTGTGTGTGTGTGTGTGTGTGCGCGTGTGTATCTTTGGGCCATCTCATCCCACTCTGATGGCCGTTGTTTTATATTACCTTGCATTATAGTGATTTGGGCACGTATCTTCAAGGCAATCCAACAAACGTTTGTTAAGTGCATACTAGGTGTCAGACCCTTCTAGGTGCTAGGGATAAAAAGAAAAACTCAAAGGAAAAAAAAATCCTATCTTCTTCTTGTTGTTCAGTTGTTTTCAGTTATGTCCAACTCTTTGTGACCCCATTTGGGGTTTTCTTTCTAAAGATACTGAAGCGGTTTGCCATTTCCTCCTCTAGCCCATTTTGCTGATGAGGAAACTGAGGCAGACAGGGTTTAGTGACTTGGCCAGGGTCACACATCTAGTAAGTGTATGAAGTAAGTAAGATCTGAACTCAGGAAGTTTTCCTGACTCCAGGCCTGGCACTGTATTCACTGCACCACCTAGCTACCCTTAAAAAAAATTCCCATCTTCAAGGAGGGGCTATTTTATTAGTTTCATCTCCTCTAGTAGACCATGAACTCTCTGAAGACAAGGATCCAATCCGATGGCTGCCACCGGGTCCAGCAGAAGACTTTGTACATAGTAGATGCTCTGGATGAATGAATGAAATGAGGAGAAAGAAAGACAGGTGCAGTGGAAAGAGAATCAGATTTTAAGTTGGAGAACCAGGGTTCTGCTCTGTATGACATCTGTAATCTTGAGAAATTCCCCTTCCTGGTTTTCCATTTCCTAGTGTGTAAAATAATAAGATGGCACTATGTGATCTTTGAAGTCCTTTTCAGCTCTTTGTCCTATAATTGTTTACTTGGTCCCTGTTGTGGCAGCCAGCATCCCTTCTGAACCTGTTCTGAAATCTCTCTCTGGGTGAAGGTTCTCCCCAGCTTTTCAAAGCCTCCAAACCTGCTGGGTGGACTTAGAGTGGGAAGGGAAGTAAGAAGATAACCAAGGTTTCCAGAGCCCCGTGTTTCTTTAAATGTCCAGGGAATATCACCAGATAACAACAGGCTCTGTTAGATGAGGGCCATGGGATCCCAGGCCTCTCTTAGTTTAAAGGGGAAAATATGATATTGACTTGGCTGCAGGCTGATATGGGGAGGGAAAAGTTGGCATTAAATCAAGAATTGAAAAGCAATTTCAGTGCTTTAAACGAAATTTCCGAGCCTGGGAAACAATTATGCATTAAAATCCATTGGAGGGAAAAAAATCTATTAAAACTTCAAGAGAAATACTTTACTATAAATTAGATTTTCTTGCCAACCAGGATAATTCAATAATTTCCCCTTGACATTTTAAAGATTATTCTTTTGGGGGACTTAGAAGACTTTGATCCTGGGAATAATTCACTCCCAAGAAAAGATGAAGTTGAACAGTTTGGTTACTAGTGGAGAGGTTCCTAGTCTGCCTCTCTATGGGTGGTGTGGAGAGGAGGGTGAGGGACTTTGAGGAGGGTTTGCTGAAATCTCTGAGCCTTGGAATCATTCTCTGCCAAAGTTATTGAGAAGGACTCAGTGGCTTGCACATAGAGGGCTCTGCCCTGTGATATACAACGCCCCCCCCCACCTCCAACTGGGGCCCTGGCCTTGGGAAGGCCAATCTGGAGAAGATGAATGTAATCTCTCTGATTTTATCTTGCAGGTCAGGGATGTCTCCAAACATCTCAGTTTCCCAAAGGGAGCTGTTATCAAGAAATTGATCTAAGTCCTTCCAGAAGCAGCTTGGTGGTACAAGTGGATAGAACACTGGACCTAGAGTCAGGAGGCCCCAAGTTCAAATTCAGCCTCACAAATGTGTAAAATAGGGATAAAATAAATACCCACTCCTAAGTGCCTGGAACAAAGTAAGTGCTGTGTCAATATTAGCTGCTTCTTTTTAGTCCGTATCAGTCTCTTACGCCCCATATGTTGTTGCTCAGTCATTGTTTCAATTGTGTCCAACTCTTTGTGACCCCATTTGGCTTTTTCTTGGCAAAGATACTGGAGTGGTTTACCATTTCCTTCTCCAGTTCATTTTATAAATGAAGGAACTGAGGCAGAGTTAAGTGACTTGCCCAGGGTCACACAGCTAGTAAGTGTCTGAGGCCAGATTTGAACTCAGAAAGATGAGTCTTCCTGACTCCAGGCCAGGCACTCTATCCATTGTATCACTTAGCTGCCCGTATACCTGAGATCATAAGGTCGTAGGATCATGGAAGTAAAGCTGGAAGGGTCATTGCGTCATTTTACAGATGAGGAAACTGAGGCTTAAAGTGGCCAAACCCAGAGTCGAACTCACAATGTATGATTCCAAAGTCAGTGCTCCTTCCACTGCCCCTGGGGTGAAGAATTTCATTGCTTTGTGAAAAATGAAAAATCATTTCTTTGCCCTAAACTTACCTCTTTTTGCCCTCAAGGACAGTTCAAGTGTCCCTGTTTCCTGAAGTCCAGCATAATGGTTAGAATGCAAGACCTAGGGCCAGGGAGAGAGGCCCTTAAATCTGGGCCCTGAAGTTTATTACATGTGTGGCCCCTGGCATGTTCTCTAGCTTTCCTGGATATCAGTGGGAATAATACCTGGAACCCCGTACCTTACAAAGTTGTTGGGAGGCTCAATTGGGGTGATGGATGTAGAGTACTTTGTCAATGTTAAAGGACTCTATGCTCGACAGTTGTTACTATTATTGTACCTTTTTTGTGATCCTTGAATATAAAATCCACTCCCCCTTCTCAGACTTTATATCTCCAGACTGAGAAGACCAAAGTGAACCTGAAAGTGCCTAACAGTCCCCCCAGGGCCATCCAAAGCCATCCTTGTTGAACCATGCCAGAGCATTCGTCCAGGGGATGCCCAAATGGACAAAGCTGAGAAATGCAAAGCCTCAGGAGGTTCTCACCCCTGCTCTGATATCAAGGATCTTGGTCGTATTCTCTGCTCTTCTTGTTCCCTCCCTGCAAAACTGGGGAAACAATTCCTGATTTATAAACAAGATCATGGACAAGGAAACACAGCGCCTAAATGTCCCAGAAGAGAGGTTGCCAGCAAACAAGAGCACATTCCTATTATTTGGCAAAGGGACCCAGTGCCCAAAATAAAAACGTAGCGCCTGCCTCCATGTGACTGGGATGTCATCCCAACCCTTTCTTTTGTTACCTGTATTGGATGAGACACACCTTCATGGCCTAGAAGTGATAGGGCTGTTGGAGACCTAAAAGCTCCCCAGTGACATATAAGTCCTTCCAGGAAACAGCCAGGGGTTCAGTTGGTATAACACTGGGCCTGGAGTCAGGAAGACCTCACTTCAAATCTGGACTCAGACACTTACTAGCTGTGTGAAGCTCAGCAAGTCACTTAACTTCTGTTTGCCTCAGTTTCTTCACCTGTAAAATAAGAATAATAATAGCACCTACCTCACAGGGTTGCTATGAGGATTAAATGAGAGAATTGCTTCCCACATAGTGCTATATAAATGTTAGCTATGATGGTGGTGATGAGGATGAGGATGATGAAATATCGGACCTTAAGCATTCCCAGGCAATGAAGCAGATAGATCCCAGTGCCTGCACGGACTTGGGACTTGGAGTCAGGAAGACATGGGTTCAAATTCCTCCTTAGACACCTCCTAGCTAGATGACCATAGATAAGTCATTTAACCAATTTCAGCTTCAGCTTTGGCATCTGTAAAATGGGGATAATAGTATCACCTACTTCCCAGGGTTGTTATAAGAATCAAATGAGATAAAGTACTTTGCAAATCTTAAAGCACCATTAAATGCTAGCTATTATTATTAACACCTTAAATTTATTGATAGGTGATATTAATATTATCCATGATCAATCAGTCAGCCAATGAGCATTTATTAAGCACCTATCATGGCACTGGGGATACAAAGAAAGCCAAAAAGCAGTCCCTCCTTCTGAGGATCTCACAAGCTAATAAAAATTGTTATTAAGCAAAGATTTGCAGGAATGGGAATAAGTATTAGGATGATTGGGGAGCTGAGGACCTCAATTCATCAAACATTTATCAAATACTGGCTTTGTACAAGCTGATGTATTGGGTATAGTGTATACAAAGATTAAAAAGTGAAATACTATTATTTTCAAAGAAGTTGCATTCTAATGTTGAAATCTGACAGGTGCACAGAAAAGTATAATACAAGGAAAGGACTTCCGAGGAAAAGGAGAAATCCAGACACTGTCCTCTAAGAGTATATTTCAGAGAGAGAGAGAGAGAGAGAGAGAGAGAGAGAGAGAGAGAGAGAGAGAGAGAGAGAGAGAGAGAGAGAGAGAGAGAGAGAGAAGAGAGAGCTTTCAACTGGGAGAGTCAGGGAAGAATTCATACAGGAAGTGGCACTTGTACTGAGTCTTTAAAACACAACTAACTCTTGAAGGAGTTGATTCAGAAAGTTTTACATGAGACCAAGGGCACTCTGAGGTTGGGGAGGGGGTGGGAGGTGGAAGGAGATGACCTGTGCAAATAAATAGAGGTAGGAGATGGTGTGTTTGGTTTCAAAAACAGTGGTGGTCAAATTTGGTTAGAATGCAGAGTGCATGAGGGGAGTGATGTGAAGTAACTCTGGAAAAGTAAATTGTGGAGAGCCTAACTACTGGGCTAATGAATTTGCATTTTCTCCTCAAGGTAATAGTGAGCCACTGAAGATTTTTGACCAGAGGAGTGGCATGGTCAGAACTGTGTGTGCATGAGGAAGATTATTTTGGTAGCTGTGTGAAGGATGGTTTGGAGAGGGTGGGCGCTGAAATCAGCAAGATTGGTTGGGAGGTTCTTCAGAGATGTGGTGATAAAGGCCTGGACTAGAGGAGAGAAGAGCTGAAAAAAGACCTGGAAGAAGGCCAGACACACCAAACTACTGAAGAGAGACCCTGGCTCACTTCCTCTCCACATTCTCCTCGACTAGAGTACAGGAAATGACTAATTGTACCTACCGGTAGGTCGGGAGTTTCAAATAGGAACTAGTCTATCTTAGGCAGGAAGGTACCTGAAAGAAAGGGCATTTTTAAAGGGAAAGGAGGTTAATTGAAAAAATGGAGGCCTATCTATTGCTGTCATTTCCTTAATGTAGCCTTCTTCTGTTACTGCAATTCAGAATGGTCCCCAAACTTCATTTACATAACAATTGTGAGGAAATGTGCTTGACCAAAGTCGATCCAGTTTCATTTTCTCCCCTTTGGATGAAAGTTGCTAAATTATTCTCAGATGGAAAATTATTCTCCCAGGGAGAGAAAGAAGGGAAGGGATTCAAGGAACAACCAAAGGGTTATTATGAAGTGACCTGATATGTTGGGAAGTGGTTCTGATTTAATGTAAATTTAAAACACTATAAAATGTGAGTTATTTCTTAAGTACATACTGTGTGCAAAGCACTGTATTAGCTTCTGGAAGCAATACCAAGCATATATAATATAGTTAAAATTAGAAACTGGCAAATAATTAAAAAAACCATCTTTGCAATAAGTTTCTCTCATAAAAGTCTCATATTCAATATACATACGTACATATATATATATATGGAACTTATTCAGATATATAAGAATAAGACACATTCCCCAATAAATAAATGGTCAAAGGTAGTGTTCAAACTATCAAAAATCACGTCAAAGATGCTCCAAATCACTAATAATTAGAGAAATGCAAATCAAGACATTTATTTAAAATTAATTAAAATTACACATACACTAAGTATGACAAAAGAGGAAAATGACAAATATTGGAGGGACTGTGGGAAAATAGACAATTGAATGTATTGTTAGTGGAATTGTGAATTAGCCCAGATATCCTGGAAAGCAATTTGGAACTATGCCAAAAAGTTTACTAACTTTAGTCTACCTTTTTGACCCAGTTATATACAACCACTAAGGCCTATACCCCAGAGAGATCGAAGAAGAGGAAAAAAGACCCATATGTACAAAAATATTTCTAATAGATCTTTCCATGGTACCCAAAATTGTAAACTAAGGGGGTGTAGTCCTGTTGGAGAATGGCTAAACAAATTATGGTTTATGAAAGCAGTAGAATATTATAGTATCTTAAGAAATAATTCCAGGGGCAGCTGGGTGGCACAGTGGATAGAGCACTGGCCCTGGGGTCAGGAGGACTTGAGTTCAAATCTGTCTTCAGACACTTAACAGTTACTAGCTGTGTGACCCTGGGCAAGTCACTTAACCCCAATTGCTTCATCAAAAAAAAAGAAGAAAAAGAAAGAAATGATTCCAGAGGAAACTGAAAAGACCTCTATGAATTTATGTAGATCAAAGTGAACAGAACTAGGAAAAGAATTTATGTAATGACAACATTGTAGAGTAAAACAATTTTAAAAAGCTTTAGAACTCTGGTCAATGCAATGAATAGTAAACCATGAGTCCAGAAGAATGAATATGAAACAAGCCATTCTCTTATTGGCAGAGAAGTGATTAGCTTAAGAAGTACAGAGAGACATACATTTTCCAGCATGGCCAATGTGGGGATTTGTTTTGCTGTATTAGGTATGTTTATTATGAGGATTTAATTTTTTCCTTGTTTTCTTGTTTTGTTCAATGGGGAGGAGGCAGTGTGAGAAAGACAGATTATAAATGAATTTAAGTGATATATGTAAAACATGTTGCAAACTTTAAGATATATGTACACATACATTTATATCTACATAAAGCTGTTGTCATTATTTTTAAAAAGAAAGACATAGAAAGTTTAGATAAGATGTCCATGCCCTCAAGGAATTTATAGTCTGGAGTCCCCTAGAATGTTAATGCAGCTCAGCTAGGTCCTTTGTCAGCCTTATCCAAAGTTTCTCTCTGTCTTGGAGTCTTGGGATGGTGGATTTTCCTGAGTCCTGGATTTTCCCATTTTGACCCAGAATCATAGAATCTTAGTATCCATGAACTGGAAGGAACATCAGAGGCTATCTAGCCCACCCCCTCCCTGAAGGACGAAGCCCATCCCCAACATCCAAACAAATACCTGCTTGAAGACCTCCAGCGATGGAGAGTTCTCCCCCCCTCCCCCCTCCTCTCCCCTCCTCTCCCCTTCTTTCCTCTCCTCTCCTCTCCTTTCCTCTCCTCTTCTCTCTCTCTCTCTCTCTCTCTCTCTCTCTCTCTCTCTCTCTCTCACACACACACACACACACACTCACAAATATTGTTATAGCATTTAAATTATTATACCCAGAGGCAACAAGAGATGGGGAGGGGGATCAGGGAGGAGTGATGACGTAGAAGAAAAGCAACAAGTATTTATTAGGTGCTGTACTAAGGGCTAAGCATTAGAGATACAAAGAAAGACAAAAGCGTTCCTTCTCCGTGTTATGAGGACCTAAAATAACACATCTCAATTCCATTCATGCAGGGGGGATCCTAGGACAAAGAAGAGAGCGTGAGCCCTGCTTTACTCACTCCTTTCGACGTGCCCTCTCTGAGTCTCAGTGCCTATGCCTAAAAGCATCCAGGTGAGCCTTCCCCTTCTCTTTCCTTTAGTACATTCCTCCTTCGCTACCGAGTCCCACCTCATCTTCAGTTCCAGATGCCTGGAACCTTTCCCACCCTATTTTTGGACACCTTCTCTCTTCCATATACAAAGCTATTTTAATTTTTGCCGTTGATTATTTCAATTTAATTCAATAAGCATTTGTTAAGTTCCTATCATGTGGTGAGCACTGAGCTAAGTGCTGGAGATAAAGGCAAAAAGCAAAATTCCTGTCCTAAAGGAGCTTTCTCTCTATTGGAGGAAACTATAAATAGACACACACACACACACACACACACACACACACAGAGTTTGTGTATGTGTGTATATACACATAAACATATGTAGTTTGTATATATGTGTGTGTGTATATATATATATATACATGTGTATATATATAAATATTATATAGACATACACGTATATAAAATATATACAAGGTAATCAGGCTGAGGTGAGAAGGCACTGGTAACCAGGAAGATCAAGAAAGGCTTCATGTAGCAGGTGGCATTGAGCTGAGCTTTAATGTAAAATCGGTGTGTTAAGAGGAGGAGGTGAGAAGAAAACACACCTCAGCTATGAAAGGTGGCCAGTTCAAAGGGCCTTCAATGACAGGGGAGTTTGTGGTGGATGCTAGATGTAATGGGGAGTCACTGATTTTTAGGAAAATCATTTTGGCATTAATGTGAAGGCTGGAGGGTAGAGGGAAAGGACTCGAGGAAAGGAGGGTGATTAGGAGACTACTGTAACAGCCTGGATAAAGAAAGTCTAAATTAGGGTGGTGGTTGTATGAACAGAGGCAGGGGGGATGGATTTTGTGGAAGTAGAATTTAAAGGGCAGAGGTGAGAAGGGCCAGCATGGGGACACCCTGTGCTGGGTTAAAGAGGTGAGAGATGTAATGTTGTGTAGCATCAAACGGGCCAGTTTGACTGAGACTGCATTGTTCATATGCAGAAAAATCTCTTGCCAAAAAATAAAACCCATTTCTGTTAAAAAAGAAACCACATACACACACACAGGAATAAATGGACCTTTTCCTTAAAAAAGGAAATAGTGTATATCTTAAAGCAATAGCTAGTATTATATATAATGAAGATAAACTAGAATCCTATCAAATAAATTCTGGAGTGAAACGCGGATGTCCATTGTCACTACTTTTTTTTTTAATATAATTGGTTGGTTGGTTTTTGTCCTTTGTTCTCAAAGAGGACCAAAATGACATTATTATGTTGGGGTCAAGGTACAGTGTATCCGATTGTGGCTGATCAGACCAATATAAGCAAGCAAGGCTCTACCACACGTTGGGCACAAAGAATCCATTTGAGGTGGAGATGTCTCTAAATGTGCATATCCTATATTTCTTTTGAGCTACTGCAATTCTGCTTCGCTCATAGAGCATAGCACTTCCTTTGATGCAGATATGCCTTGCTGGGGGGTCCTTTGCCAGTGTCTCCCATAGCAGGCAATTGATTCCAAAGTTCTTTTAGAGGAATCTTGCAAGTGTCTTTGTATCAGTTCTTCTGACCACCATGTGAGAGCCTGCCTTGAATGAGTTCTCTGTAAAATAGTCTTTTAGGCAAATGTACATTTGGCATTTGAACAACGCGGCCAGCCCATTCTAGTTGTGCTCCCTCCAGCAGTTTGAACGCTTGGCAGTTCAGCCCAAAAAAGGACCTCAGTGTCCAGCACCTTATCTAGCCAGGTGACCTGACAATTCAAATGGAAACAATTCAGTTTCTTGGCATGGTACGAATATACCGTCCAGGTTTCACAGGCATACAACAATGAGGTCAGCATAATGGCTCTGTAGATCTTCAGTTTGGTAGGCACTGTAATACCTCTTCTCTCCCACACTTTCCTTCAGAACCCCCTGACGCTGAACCAGCTCTGATAATGTGTGAGTTAACCTCATCCCCTGTGTGTACATCCCTGGAAAGTATTCTGCCAAGGTAAGTGAACTTACCCACAGCCTTCAAAATGTCTCCATTTGCTGTAACCAATGGTTCCACATGTGGATGTTGTGGAGAACCTCTGTATCCTTGGCGTGAAGTGTTAGGCCAAGATTAGTACAAGCAGCAGAGAATTGACCCAGACTTTGCTGCATCTCGGTTTCAGAGGTTGCACTGAGTATACAATCACTGAAAACAAAAAGTCATGCACCAACTCTCCCTCCACTTTAGTCTCAAGTTAAATTATTTAGCATCAGTGTAGTAGCTGATCTTGATGCCGCTTTCATTCTCATTGAAGGAAACATCATGAATATGGCTGAAAACATCATGCTAAACAGCATGGGAGAAAGCACAAAGCCTTGCTTCACTCCATTGGTGACTGGGAAAACGTGAGAAGATTGTCCAAATACTGATTAATTTCTCCAGGCGACCAAATTTTGCCATGATTTGCCACAAGTCCTCACTACTGACGGTGTCAAAGGCCTTGGTCAGATTGATGAACACTGTGTACAGACCTCTATTCTGCTCCTGGCGTTTCGTCTGGAGTTGTCAGGCTGCAAACACTATGTCGACCGTCCCAAGGCCCTTTCTGAAGCCAGGCTGGCTCTCAAGTAGATGACCATCTTGCAGGTGAAGGATCAGACTATTAAGGAAGACTCTGGCAAGAATCTTGCCAGCAACGACCAAGAGAGAGACCCCATTCCCACCACGTGATTGTCACAGGACAACCTATTTACTTTTCCTTTAAAGAGATGGACAGTGGAGTTATCCTTGAACTCCTGAGGAATAACCTCCTCTTGCCATATAACCCAGAAAATTGCAGTCAGCTTTTGTATGAGGAATGGATCCCCTGCCTTGTAAATCTGAGTTGGAATAAAATCAACACCAGACACTTTGCCAGAGGAACCTAATGGCATTCAAAACCTCTTCTTCAGTCGAAAGTTTGACTGCAGAGCGACTGGACTGGCTTCTGCACTGATTGATGACAATCTTTTCAGAATACTATGGAAGTATTCATCCCATCTCTCCAAGATCATGTATTTATTTGTTTGTTTTTGTTTTGATTTGGTTTGTTTTTTTTGGTGAGGCAATTGGGGTTAAGTGACTTGCCCAGAGTTACACAGCTAGTGAGTGTTATGTGTCTGAGGCCAGATTTGAATTCAGGTCCTCCTGAATCCAGGGCCGGTGCTCTATCCACTGTGCCCCTAGCTGCCCCCTTAATAATAATAATACTTATTATTATTTTTCAGTTGTGTCCAATTCTCTGTGACCCCATGTGAGGTTTTCTTGGCAGAGATACTACAGTGGTTTGCCATTTCCTTTTCTAGCTCATTTTACAGATGAGGCAAAACAACTAGTCTCTGAGGCTGGGTTGGAACTCGGGTGTTCCTGTCTCCAGGGCCAGAGCTCCAGCCACTGAGCTACCCAGCTGCCTCGGTTATGTCCTTATTACTAATCAATGTGGCTCCATCAACACTGAGTAGTTGAGATGCACCATAGGTCTTTGGCCCATAAGTAGCCTTCAGGGCATCATAAAAGCACTTTAGATTGGTACTGAATTTCATCTGCCTTCTTACTGAGCCAAGAATCCTACATCTCTCTGAGCTTTGATTGTGCTTTACTTTTGATGGAGTTAAATGGTGCCTTCTTAGGGATGGATGAACTATGCTGCTGGTAAACCTTGTGGAGTTCTAGTTTTTTGTTTAACAGCTTCTGAATTTTCCCAACATTTTCATCAAACCAATCTTGATGTTTCTGAGTGTTCTGGCCCAGATGAGTCAATGCAGTGCTATGCACCAAATCTCTGAAAGTCGCCCACTCCTTTTTTGCTTCACTGTTGCCAACCATGTGTTGGCTCAGCTTCCTCTTCCAGTTAGCAATGAAGTATTCATGCTCAGAGAAGTACTCTAATCTGTTGACCTTAAGTCTTCTGGTAGTCATCTTGCCTTGGGCTACAGATTTTGTTGAATGGGAATGTTTAGCCTGTAGAGGATAAGTCTGTGATCAGTTCAGCACTCTGTACCACACATAGCCTCCGTCACTCCCACGACCTATCTGTCTCTTCTCCTTAGAATCACACAGTCCATTAAATGCCAGTGTTTGCTGTGAGGGTGCACCCACAAAGTTTTATTGTGTTTAGATAAATGGAAGAGAGTGTTGGTGATGAGAAGGTCTGCACAAGTCTTCAACAGTAAGTGACCATTGCTGTTGCTGTTTCCAACTCCATTCCTCCCAAGGGCTCCCTGCCACGTCTGATAGTCTATGCCTACTCTGGCATTAAAGTCACCCAGAATTATAAGCTTGCCCTCTTTCGGCACATTGAGGATGAGGGTCTCTAGGTCTTCATAAAATTTGTCTTTGACCTCCATCAGGGTTTAACGTGGTGGAAGCATATGCACTGATGAAGGTGGCGTAGTGCTTTCCTGCCCATGGCAATCACATTGTCATGAGCCTCTTGGGCCCTCCTGTTGGAAGGCATACAAGCTTGTTTGACTAGATTCATTTTGATCACAAAACCTCTGCCCCTTCATGGTAGTCCCCTTCACTGTGGCCTCTCCAGACAAGCCGGTATCCAGCTCTGACTCTGGTAAGTTGGCCTTCCTTTGCCAGTCTTGTTTCACTGAGGGCTGCTATTTGGATGTGATACCCACAAAGTTCTCCTGTAATAGGAGCTGTTTGTCCTTCAAGTCTACTGGATTTCATGTTGTCTGTAAGTGTGCACACATTCCATATACTGATGGTAAGTGGAATCATCTTTGCAAAAGTTTTTGTACATATTTTTTTTTGTATTTCAGCCGCAGAGTGGAATTATTGCCTGCCGTAGTAAATAGGCCAGAGTTGAGTGAAGCAGTTTTTAGCGAATCTTTTCTAGCTCCTTATTGATGCCAGGAGGTGAGCAGGTTGGTCATCAAAAAAGACTGCTTAATGGGGCAACTAGGTGGTGCGGTGGATAGAACACTGGCCCTGAAGTCAGGAGGATCTGAGTTCAAATCCAGCCTCAGACACATAATACTCGCTAACTGTATGACTCTGGGCAAGTCACCCAACTGTCTCACAAAAAAAAAAAAAGCTGCTTAAATACCCAGGAGGCTGCTGAATCCCACTACTTCTTCAGTCCAGTGAGAAGATGGCCCTCTGGCCTGGGCTGCCTGCGTGCAGGGGGTTGTGACTATTATCTCCCAGTGTGTTTGTACCTGCTGCTTCATCACTTACTGTCATCACAGGACTTTGAGGTAGGTAAAGTGATTAAATGGCATGGGTGAGGTATTTTGACTAGTACATTAATTGGATTTGATTGAAGTAGAGTTGCCGGGAGTTCGTTAGCCTCACTCTTTCTTCTAGAGTCATCAAAGTCCAGTAGCAAGATAAAGTCAAGACCACTGGTGATGGCCTAGGATTCAGTGGGTGACATTGGCTTCTTCAATGTCTAGCCAAACTCGGAGAGCACCGTAGTGCCAGCTTCAGTAGCCTTCATGGCTGTTGGAAAAGATTGTTCTCATTTGCCCATTCTGTCAGGGGAAGTCTTCACGTACTTGGGGTAGACACCCTCTTAACTCACCAAAAGGTTTGAGAGTTCTCAGTCACCCTCAACCTGGTTTAGCCTGATTGCTCAAACAGTTACTAGGGTGTGGCTGCTGAGCATGCTGCAGCTTCTTGGAGCCCCCGGTGAGAGTGGGTGAATCAGGTGGACACAGAGGTGGATGAGCAGCCCTGAAAAGATCTCGGCAGCCCTCACACCAGAGGTGCTAGTCTTCCCTGAACACCCCCTGCACCCCATTGGACATAGTACTAGAAATATGGCAATAACACAAGAAAAAGAAATTAAGAGATTAAGCAAAGATAAAGAAGAAACTAGATGATCACTTTTTGCAGATGTTATGATGGTGTACTTAGTGAACTAAAAAACTAATTCAAACTATAACTTCAGCAACGTTGCAAGATATAAAATAGATCTATATAAAACCCATTTAGAAGAGATAGAAAGAGAAATTCCATTTAAAATAACTACAGAATCAAGCATAGCCCCAGGCAAACAGGCAGCCTCCAGTGGCCAGACCTCCAAATGCTTTAGTGCATTCCTGGGGAAATACAAAAACACCTCACTAGGCTTAGCACATGCCAGACACCAGCACAGCACTAGATAAGCTGCCAGACCGCTATAACTTCCAGCAGCACCAGACACCTCCACCCACCCCCTCAGCACAACACCAGAAACAGGGGTCCCCTGTGGGGCTCAAGGCGACATTAGTGCAGCACCAGGTAGACAGCCAGGGCCCAGAGCCCCTGGCGCAAGAAGCCTGAGACAGTTCCCCTTTCACCCCAGGAGTAGAGCTCAAATTTAAAAGAAAGGAAAAAGGCCAAAAAGATGAGCAAATAACAATACAACAACAACAACAGCAAATCTGACTGTAGAAAGTTATTACGGTGACAGGGAAGATCAAGACACAAACTCAGAAAAGGACAACAATGTGAAAACACCTATGGGTAAAACCCCAAAGGAAAATGGGAAATGGTCTCATGCCCAGAAAGAACTCATGAAAGAGCTGAAAAAGGAGCTTAAGAATCATATAAGAGAGATAGAAGGAAAAAATGGGAAAAGAAATGAGAGAGCAAGAGAGTTATGAAAAAGGAGTCAACAGCTTAGAAAAAGAAAAAACTCCTTAAAAAGTACAATTCAATTGGCCAAATGCAAAAGGAAGTATGAAAGCTAATTGGAAAACAACTTCTTAAAAGTTAGAATTGGGCAGGTAGAAACTAATGATTTTATGAGACATCAAGAGTCAATCAAACAAAATCAAAAGAATTTTAAAAAATGGAAGAAAGGGTGAAAGGAGAGAGAGGACAAACAAGAAGAAAAATAGGATGGAGGGAAATACACAATTAATAATCACAACTGTGAATGTAAATGGGATGAACTCTCTCATAAAATGGCAGCAGATAGTAGAGTGGATCAAAAACCAAAATCCTACAATACGTTGTTTACAATAAACACACTCGAAGCAGAGAGACACACACGGGGTAAAGAAAAGGTGCTGGAGCAGAATCTATTATATTTCAGCTGAAGTAAAAAAAAAGAATCAGAGGTAGCCATTCTGATCTCAGACAAAGCAAAAGCAAAAATAGGCCTAATTAAAAGAGATAAAGAAGGATACTACATCTTGCTAAAAGGTACCATAGACAATAAAGGGATGTCAATACTAAACATATATGCACCAAGTGGTATAGCATCCAAATTCTTAAAGAAGTTAAATGAGTTACAGGTTCATGACCAAACAAGAAAGATAGAGAACATTACAAAATGTAAAATAGATAATTTTGATTATATTAAATTAAAAAGCTTTTGTACTAACAAAACCAATGTAATCAAGATTAGAAGGAAAGCAAAAGGTTGGGAAACAAGATTTACAGCAAGTATCTCTGATACAGACCTCATTTCTCAAATATGTAGAGAACTGAGTCAAATTTAGAAGAATACAAATCATTCCCCAGTTGATAAATGGTCAAAGGATATGAACAGATAGTTTTCAGATGAAGAAATCAAAGCTATCTATAGGCATATGAAGAAGTGCTCGAAATCACTTTTGATTAAGAAATGCAAATTAAAACAAGTCTAAGGCACCACCTCACACCTATCAGATTGGCTAATATGACAAAAAAGGAAAATGATAAATGTTGGAGAGGATATGGGAAACTAATGCACTGTTGGTGGAGTTGTGAACTGATCCAAGCATTCTGGAGAGCAATTTGCCCAAAGGGCA